ATAATTACTCTGGGCAGGGTCTGGAAAAGGTGGGTGAGACTTTGAGAGATATTACCACTAAATATCCTGCAAATTCCCCAGATCAAAGTTCTCAGAGGAACTGTCTCTGCCTACAAACACAACACAGGACAGGCACACAGCATTTGTGAAGGGCTGGAAATTGCTGGTAGCTTCACCTGTGTTCCTTTGGAGACCCACTACACCAGGATTCATTCAGCCTTCTCCCTTTGCTGAAGGCCCAGGTCTCTCCCTGCTCTTCCACCACCATCCCTTCATCAAGAAACACAATGCATGGGACAAACCTCACTCTTTTCCTTTGGGTACTGGTGTTTAACAAGACTGATTTCTACTCAGGTGACACTTAGGACATGCCTTCTTGAACATTATGAAGAACTTGAGTTCTTGAACGTCTCAAGCTGGGGCTGAGAGATGTGCCTGAAGCTTTTCACTTGCTTGGTTTTGTTTTTCTGCCTTTTTCCTGCTTTTGGAGCCTGTGGGGTCCCCATAGCAGGGGGTCAGCAGTGGCATCACAGCCACAAAGCCACCAGGCAGAGCAGCACTGCCACTTTATGTGTAAGCAGCAGAGCTCCCTCTCCTCACAAGGGCACAACCCCACTCACAGCTGACCAGGCTCCTTGGCCAGCTTGTTGTGATGCTGATGTGCAAAGCTATTCATGTTCTCTTCTTGTCAGGAGCTGTGTGCCCCCATGGTGTGTAGTGTAGTTTGCTGTGAGACTTGTAGCACTGGGATGTGCAGACCTTTCCTTACACAGAATAGCAGCATAAATCTCATTTAATGAGCTCTTAAGTGACTAACATATCTGTGAGCAGCTATTTAAAGGACAAGCCCTACTGGGATAGGAGTGGGCACGATGCCATTGCCCTCATGGCTCTTAACCAAAAAGCCCTTTCCAAACACCAATTCCTCATTCATTCTTGCTTCTTTTTTTTATTCCCCCCTTTATTAGCTCTGCTACGTCCTCTGCAGGCCTTCAGCTGATCATTCAGATCAACTAAAACCTGAAACCTCCTCTCAGCATTTGTACTAAATTTGTGGATTTCTTCACACTTCATTGTGTTTCATTTTTGATAACAGAAGCTATTCAGGACAGCATGTGCTGAATGGCTTCATTCCCATCCACACCTTCTCTAGATATAATTTGAAGGGAGAACCAGAACAGTTTGGGGTCGTTCTTGGTACAGAAATCACAAGGACAAGGAAGATGCCAGGTTGACTGAACCACAACTCATCACTGGTCACTATCAGGTGAAACACTGCACCACTCCCAGCTCCTCCTGCCATTTTCTGCAGGTGTTTTACAACCATATACCACGTTTCTGGAATATTTCCTTTTGCATCTCTCCCTTTCCAGGGCAGAGGTCCAGGGCAAACCACCTAAAGCCCATTGTCAGACCTGTGGATGGGTCAGACTGACAGCCATTTCCATCAGCAGGATCTAATAATTACAGCAAAACCTACCAAACTAAACCATAGATTAAAGCTGGATGTGCTTTGCATTTAGTTACACTCGAGGCACGGAGGTTGGGAAGTTGCAGTGACTCAGAGATTTCCAGATAAAACATCAGTTTTTGGGAAGATGCATATCTATAATGAATTGCTAGCAGTTAGGCTATTCTGTCAAAATAAAACTCTTTTAATCTTTCAAAGAGAATCCTGGGCTATTTAATTGATTAGCAGCTTTTTAATGAGAGGATTAAGTACACAGTAGATAACTCAGATGATTGACAGCTCTACTGCACCAACTAAAACAAGATGCCTCCGTTTTCCCAGCACACGCCAATTAAATGATTAAGTATTGTTTACTGGGACTGGGAGGATTACAAGACAGTAGGTGGATTTATTAGCAGAGAAAGGAAAAACACTCCTACACAAAAGAAAAAGATTATTTTGAATGACTAACAGCCATGCCCCTGCAAAGCATGACTAGAGCTAACCGAGTTATTTGCTCCCAGGTTACACTCCAGCCCTTCTCCCTTTTTCAGACCATTTGTCAGTTTACCCAGTTATCTCCAACGTGCTCATCATTTCCAGGTGTCTTATGCAGACCATTTTCTGAGTTTATCATGTAGATAGTTATAAAACTGCTTGATATTATCCCTGAGGAAAAGGTTGGGAACTTAGCTCACATTATAGACAGAATCTCACTTCTCTGGAGCAGGAGACCAAGATGCCTTTTAAAAGCAGGAGCTGCTTCATTAGCAGCCTTTTAGCACATGGAGGCACTGAATCAAATCACCTAAATACAAGTACCTGAACATGGCAGGGGCAATAAGTGGTTTAGCATCTTGCAGCAAGAACATACAATTTTACATGAATTAACAATTTATGTGAGAAAGTTTGGAAGAAAGGGGGAGGAGAGAGATGCTCTTAAATTCATGCTATCAGGCTCCATAGTAACCGTGTCTGAACCAGCCACAGCTTTAACACAATATGTGCCGTTTTTACCAGGCTGGGGAAAAAAATCAAGATGCTGAAAATATTTCCTCATTTTTGACTTCTTGACTGCACTTTAAATGAGAATACTCCTTAACCTTATAATCCCTTCCTTTGTGTTTTAGGTTACCCTCTAACCATCTGATCTCTGCATGGAAAAAGCTAAATGAGACGTTGTAGTTAAACTAGATGTCAAGAGCCAAAGTTTTGTTCAGATTTTCCCCTGCCCTCTTTCTGTAGGGTTCCTACACAGGTCTGTGAGAGTGGCTTTAGCACAGCTGAGGAAAGCCAGGGTTACCAGCTCTGGGTAAAGCTGCCAGCACTCCCTGCCCTGGGAGCGCTCTCCCCGGTATGCCACCAGCGCTGGATAATGACCCATCTCACCTGGTTAATTAGAAGAGTAAAGTCCCTGCCAGACAGGAATCTCTGCAGGTGTGGAGACCACAGAAGCATGTTAACAGAGTAAAATATTTTGGTAATCTCTGGACTTGTGTTTTTAACAGTCTGCCCAGGGCTCAGGGCCCCATCCTGGGATTCTGACAAAAATGAAAAGTGTGAGATTTTCATTTTTCCTCAGAGGGCTGTATGCAGCACCTGCTGTGAGACATAAAAGCAGCAGGCTGATGCTTCCACTGTTCCTTGGAGCTGTAACAGGTAAAGCCATGAATAGGCTGAATTTCAAAAAATCAGTAAATTAAAGTCCAGAATGTCAAAGAGAAAACTGGAAAAAAGAGATCCCCAGGGATATGAAATACAAAGATATTACCTTTGGCTCTGGAAACCTCTGAGCCCTAGTTCTCAGAGAAGCTGTAACAATGGAAATATTCTTGCACATCTCCTGCAGCAGTTGCTGTGAGCTGCAGGAGGCTGGAGAGGGGCTGTGGGGAGCTGTGATCCCAAAAGGCTGCAGAGGAACACACTGAGCTAATTATAATGAGTGGCAAACTCTGTTTTCCAGAGTTCATCAAATATGAATGGCTAGTGAAACTGGTCACCATGGCTAGCAAGTGCTGTGTGAAGAAAAAAGTAGCACCTAAATAAATGTAAGGAGAAGCACTGGAGGATGTAGGGTCCTTCAGAGGATCACAGCCCCAGGATGACAGCCAGCCCTGCTCCTTGGGGCTGGAGAGCAGGGATGCCCAGCCTGACACGTGCTCCAGTGTGTCACCTTGCAGGAGCCAGCCTGGGGAGAGGTGCCACTCCCTCTGCCTTGTGCCAGCCTGTCCTCAGGGCTCCATACAGAGGGAAGGGCAGCATGAGCCCCTGGTGAGCACCTGTTGTGCTGCCCAAATGCTGTAGCTGTAGGTCCCTTGCACTGCAAGCAACAAGAGTGGAAGCAGAGATGGAGACAGCTCCTTCATCAAAGAGCATCTGGCCTTCCTTAAGAGATCCAGCTATTCTCCCTGCATTGGGGGTTAGGAGGGGCAGGACAAATTTACCTTCTCTGCCTGTGCTCAGTGGCATTTGTCTCCTCACCCCCTGCAAGTGCAGCCCCTGCTCTCACCCTTGGCAGCTCCAATACCTGCCCAGCACCATCTCTGAAAGCAATCAGTCTGGTGCCAAGAGCATAAACTCATTTTTTCCTCTCCACTCTCCTTGCATCACACAACTGCTCAGCTTTTCTAAGTAACAAACTTCAGTACCTCATTACTCTGCCAGTTGCCATAACCAAGTGCCCACAGCTACATGGCATTTACTGGTTATTTGTGAGCCAGCTGCAGCACCCTCCTTACCAGGGGCAGTGAGGAGACACATCTGTGAACACCAGCAGAAATCAGGTATCTCCCTTTTAAAGCTGGAAGAGAACAACCAAACTCTCCCCTGTGTTCCTCTGCACAACCCTCCCACATCTCCCCCTGCAAACACACAGCATTTTGGTGCATATTTCATTTTCTTCTTGAACAACAGGGAAAGACTAGATACTAGCTCTTGGGATTTTATCTAGGAGCTAAAATAAAACTGCTTTTCAGGGTGTGGAAAGATCCTGGGATTAGACCCACTGTCCCTTCTTTCCTTCAGCTTGTTATCTTACCACTTCTCTCTTTCCAAGTCATTTAATGAAGACTCATCCATGTTATTCCAAATGTGAGGACTTGGCTGGGCTCAGTGCAGGTGTTTGGCTTTCCACAGACACAGGCTGAAAACACACATCAATGTGTGCTGCTCTTTGACGTGTGGGTCCAGTCCCTCAGGAACCAAACTAATAATATCCACAAGTTAGCTCTGTTTTGCTGAGCTACTTTAAGATTACCAAGGCGTGGATCCTCATTTATCACTTACCTGCAATTTATTTTTATATTGTTTTTGTGAAATTGCTCTTAATCTGGTGGATTCTGCCATGCCAACTTGCATACCAGTATCACTTCTGCTCCAAGAATACTTTTTCCAAAAAAAATAACAAAACCTTTTCTGATGTTTTGAGTGTATCAGCATCAAACCCAGTAAACTGAACAACATTTAAACACTTGGATGTTGCTATCAGGAAAAATGGTAATACTGACAATAGTCCAACCGAGAAATATGGAGTATAAATGCACAGACTTACCATTTTTGTCAGCTCTTCTGAAAATCTAGAATTGAAAGAGAGAGAGAAAAACGTGTTTACTGTGTTGTCCAGCATGGGGGTGAAGCCCTTTGCACAGGACCACGTTCAGGGCAGGTTCAAGTGCTCCAACCCCTCAAGACCCAATTCAGGAGCTTTACTGAGCTCACTCTCCCCAAGGCTCAGCTCATCTCCCCCAGAGCAACATAACTGGAACAACTGCTAGAAATGCTTGCAGCACTTCCAGCACCTCCCTCACTTAAGAAAGCTGAAACCATGAATCCAACACCAGAAAAATACACACAAAAAAAAATTTACAACAGCCAGGCAGCCAGTCCAGACAATTTCTCTGGAGTCAATAAAATCTCTTAAACCAATTTTCACAGCTCTGCACTTCTGAAAAAAAAAATTATTTACAACATTTTTATTTTAAAGCAAGTCTCCTGCGTGGGAAGGAGATTATATTTAGACTTAAAACTACAGTGTGGAGGAACAGTCCACAGAGAGGAATCAAATAGCCGTTTCAGAAGGGAAAAAATTGCAATAAAGTGTAGTACTGTAGAACTTGCCAGGGAGAAAGAGAGCAGAAACAACAGCTATTTTTCTCACCAGTCTCATCTGAGGAATAGTCCTCTAATACTGATACCAAAATCAGCTGGTCACCTGGAGGGGCCTTGCTCTAATTGAGTTTTTAACCATAGACACTAATTATACATTCATTAGCTAACCCCACTTACATGATGCATATGGATTATTTTATTTTACTTAGTCACACCCCTTATCAGAAATCCTCTAATGGATCTTTGGGGTCCATCTCCAACATCTGGTGTCCTTTTTAGGTGACTGTTCCTCAACACTCACTTTTGAGTAAGCCAAATATCTTTGTTTTCCATAACTTCTACTTTGTCACTCCTGCAGTGTGACAAATGCTGAGCTGGCATCCTGTGTGTGTTTTGCATGACTTCTGCATCCCTAAGTTACATCCTTCATCCACCTCTCCAGGGCTGTGCTGTTTTGCTCTACTGTCCTTGCCAACAAAATGCAATTAATAGCAAAAGGCTTGTGCAAAGGCTGGAAACTTACAGGTATCTGCCAAAAACAGCTGCTAGCAGAGGTTGGCCATAAATTACAAAAAAATTAACATGGCATAAAAAGGTAAAATATTCTCATCATCTCTTCAGGCCTGACCCTATTAATTTGAGCAAGAGCAGAGATTTTAGTTGTACAAAGAAATTTCCCAGAGGAGGGAATAAAAGCACCAGCAAGACAGATCAGAGTCAGCCGTAAAATAGAATCTCATATTTTCTGGGTCACAAAACCATTAAAAAAAAAAAAATATCAGAAGAGAAACTGCTGCACAAAACAAGAACCCCAAGAGACAAATTGAATTGCAGAATATGCTATTTCACTGAATATGGCTTAATTAAGGAACATTAATCATTCTTTTGTCCGAAGTCCTTGTGAGGCTTTGCAGCCTGGGGCAGAGTCAGAGCAGGACTTTCTGGAGTACTTCAGCAGAGGCAAAACCCCTCTGCCTGAGCCAAACCAGTGTTGGGAGTCACAGAAACTGCCTGCAAGGATTACAGCTTGTGACCACGGCAAAATTCCTCTTGTGCTGACCTCCATTTTCTAAAAGCCATTAGTAGTTTTGGGAGGGAAAATCCTACCTCTCTCCACACTCACAGATTTCATTGAAGTTACATATGGGTTTTGAAAGGCCAGCCAGTAATGGCTTGTCTGTGGGAAGAAGGAATTGATCCCAGCAGGACCCCAGCAAGCTGCAGGGCTTTAGCACCCATCCCTCACCTGTGCTCAGTGTGTCCTGCCCACTGTAGGAAATATTCCTCTTTTCATGGCTTGGACACCCCAAATCCTCTCCCCATGAGCACCTCCAGATGAGGCACTTCTCTTCCTGGATGCTGATTATTTCTGGGCTTTTTTTCATCAATGCATCCTTCTGTTGCCCTTCCCATTGCTTTGAAACCAAGGTATTACAGCCAGTCTAACACCAAAGGAGCAATGCCTGTCTTAAGGTCCCATGGGAGATCACCATCCCACTAAAAAATCAATAGGTAAAATGTAGATTAAAATGGGAGAAAGGCTCAACTCTGCTCCATGGAGCTGTTTACCTTGCAAGGAATACTTGGAGCAACAGGAAAAAAAAAAAATGGAAGAAATGTTTAGAAATTGAAGAATTTATATCCAGCTTCACTAAGTGAATGTTTTAGGGGTTTAACTCTCCCAGACACTCCCTAAAGTATGACTATTTGTAAATGAACGTGTGGATGAAAGATCAGAGTGGCTGTGTTACTTATCAAAGTTTATCCTACAGGACCAAGCTGCTTGGCTTTTTTTTTTTTATTGTTAATGAGTAAGATTTATCCTTTCAACTTAATTGAACCACCTAAAATTTGCACACATAAAAAATATTTAACTGGGACACCTGGAGGGAAAAAACAATTTAAGACAAAGTCATCTGTCAGCACAGGCAGGCACTGCATCAAGGTGTGAACATTGGAATGAGCATCGGGAGCCTGATAAAGATGTAATATAATCTGTGATAGCTTGGCAGTGCTGCCAAAAATGCTGCTGCTGTGAAGACCCAGGATTTATGTTCTAGCTCAGCAGAATGCCCTCCCCCACACAGCCCAGAGACACCCTCTGCTCAGCTCTTGGATTAGTTGTTCCACTGTGGGAAGGAGGGGATGGGCTTTCCATAGGGGAAAGGTGTGAGATCTGGGGATGGCAGGGAAACCACAGCCCCTCACAGCTTCCCTCTGGACCAGAGAGCAAACCCATAAGGGTGCCAGGCTCCCAGGGAGCTGGGGGCAATGACAGCTCCCACCAGCTCCACAAGAAGGGAGCACAAGTGAGGATGCTGTGTCATCTCCAAGGCAGAGGCTGCAAGCCCATGCGCCCCACAGCTCTGCGGGCTCCCGGCAGCTCCAGCACATCCTCACTCAGCAGCAAAGTCACTTGCACTTAGTCAAGGCAGCAGCCTGGAGGTTGGTGAGAGAGGAGGTGATGAAATATGGATGGAGATGTGCCCTGTCCTGCCAGGCCCTCAGCAGCAATCGCTTCCTGTGCCTGCAGCCGGCCGAGGACCATCCCACGGGCAAGGGGCTCGCACAGCCTGACCAGGGATGCTCTTTCCGCTCCATCACCCCCTGTTCTCCAACCATCAGGGCACTGCACAGATTTCAGATGGTAAATGAGGAATTATCCACTTCAAGTACCACAGCAACCATCTCCCTCAGCAGCCATGCTTTGATGCTATTAAGCAAAATTCCCAAAGAACAGGCTAAGTCACACAGGGAGCCCACAGGATGCCCACAATATGGGCATTAACCTATTTTATAGGATTTACACAGGCAGTGCATGCAGTTTGCTGTCTGTGCCATACTTAACCCACTTACCAGTGGTTTAGATGAATAATATAAACACTATTTTCTCTAGAGCAAAGAACTTTTGTCAAGATTTCCAATAGGTTTTCCCTAAATATATGTTTTTGCTATACTCTCAAATGGCTACTACAGATATTTGACTGCCAGAAGTAAGCAATTCAAAACCCTGGTGGTGGTAATAATAAACTTGAAAAAAATGATGGCTTCAAATTTAAACATTTAGTTCTGCCTTCTCAAAGCTTCTGGATGAGAGCAAGCCACACTTAGGCTGCTTAATGAAGGCTTTCTCACGAGTTTTATTAAATTCACAATAGCACTCCCCTGAGAAGCCCAAGAATTATTACAGGTTTGTGGAGTTTATAATCCCTTCATCAGGTTAATATTATGTTGATTTAAAATAGAATGTAGCTAAGCTGAAATTTTGTTTTCCATCCTAATCTAGGTGCAGAATCGAGGACAAACACAATCCTGTCTCATGCACGAGGAAAGCCTACAGATGAGAAGGCATCCAGAGATCTATGGACCTAAAAATATTATTGATCCTCATACAATGTTCCTGCATTCCTCTTCTGGCTTTCTGTTCCTCTCCCTACAAGTTTTGACACTTCCTTTGGAGTTCAGACAAGGTTTTATATCAGGCATGGTCTTTAGTTCTCAAACCTGAGGCCCCAGTAGGAATTTCCTCTCCTACAGCCTTTCTCTGTTGCGCTTTCTGGTGAAAATGTGAGAAAATAATGACCTGAAGCTTTGTCACTTTGGACTATGTCTTTAGACATCCTCAGGCTAATGAGCATTCCCCATGCAAGGAGAAAGGTTTTATTTAGGTGTTTCAGTATGGAATATGGTATTGGTGTAGAAATACTGTCCCATCTGCAGTGGTTCCCCACAAAACAAGCCTGCTGCAGAGCTCCAGGTCTCTGGGAATTTTCCCACTTCAAAGCAGATCCTTTTTCTTTTTCCCTTCCTCCCCAAGAGAAGAGCAGCTGACACCATGTCCCAACTCTGCTTTTGCTCTTACCTTCTCTTTAGACTTTACCTAGCTGTCCTAAATTAAAGTTGCACGAGAAAGGTAAGAGTTGCATCTGATGTTCTGACCTGATGACGTCCAGCACTAGAAGTTACTTTTCTGTTCAGCTTCATTTCAAGCACCCACTTCCAAAGCCCTGAAGATCAGAGGAGAACAGATGGACTCTCCTGTGTGATTATGTACCTTGCAGTGAGCAGTTCCTGAAGGAAGAGAGCCTGGCCTGCCCTGGCCTCCTCTCCAGCTGTGCCTGCAGGTACAGCTCAAGGGAGCGATATCAAACCACGGATTTCACAAAGGGAGGATTAAGGAGGAAGAAAAAAACCCTCCCAGTTCACTCATAGTGAGAAGGTAAACAAGGACAAAAGAAGGGGAATGAACCAACCTTGAAAAAAAACCCCAACAAACAAAATGAAAACAGAAGCAAAGAGGTCAAAACAGAAGAGGAGTGAGAAAGGATTCCTGGGATTCTTGTGGCTGCAAGAGCCTTGCAATTAAGGGCTGCACTGGAAATCATGTCATTGACAGAATGGTTGGAAAACTGGCAGTTCTGGATCTACACTTGGAAATGCACCATTGGCACAAACCAAATTCTCTGTATCTTCTATCCAGGAACCTCACTCAATCCCATGGGGCTCAACTTGTGGCAGATTTGGCCACATAAGCGAGATTGCAAGAGGAGCCATAAGAATGAGAGATGGATTTGAAATCATCTTTGAATAAAAAATCAGATAAGGGTCAAAATTAGTTTCCAGAAAAAAAAAGGGTAGATAAAACAGAAAGCTTCATCTGACCTGAAATGAATAGCAGCTGTGTTCTTCAGGAGTGTTTAAAATAAGGCCAAAAATCAATGCATTTTGTCCCCATTGGCAAGAAAGGAAGCAGGGAGGCCAGTGCTGCCTGGAGCTCACTGTCCTGCCATGGGGATGCTCATTCATAAGCAAGGCTGATCCTTATTTTAGATGCCAAGCAGGAGGTGAGCCATGAACCAGAAGGAGCATCTTCACCTGCAGCTGCTGTGACTGACCAGGCCTCACGTGCTCTGGAGTTCACACTTCTGCTGTCAGCACAGGCTTTTGGCAGTGACAGGAAGGCAGGAAGAGATGAGCAAGGACAGTAGATCAGCCAGCTCTGAAGTACTCCCAGACAGACCAAATCCTGCCTAGACATTTCCTGTGCCTAGAGCCATCCGCCTCAGCTCTGCATAGCGTGTGCACTCATTCACTCTCAGCAAATGCAATCTCACACTGGCTTAGCCACAGAGACATAATATATCCTCCTTTTCATAAGCATTGTGGCATTGAGGATTTGTTCTTGACTGGAAATGCCACCATCTCCTCTTACAGATTGCAGCAGCACTGTCACAGTCTGTCCATGTGGGTGCAGAAAGCACTAGATATCCTGTGTCCATCCACAGCTTGTGGTGTGAGTGGGAATACCTGCTGCAGATTGCACATGCCTCCAGCCCTGAGCCTCGGGCTTGCAGCTGCAGCAGACCCAGAGAAGGCACCTGAGGGCAGGCACAGGATGGGTACAGACCCCTGGCTCAATCTCAACCCCTTATGATGATTTGACCAATGTTGTAAGAGCTGACCATTCATTCATTCATTCATTCATTCATTCATTCCTAGTAAACATTATTCAACTTTTTAAAATCCTTTACCTAAAAGGCCAGAGGCAAAATAAAAGATAAACACTGAACCTAGCCCAAAGTTAAGCCTCCAAGTGGCAGTAGCCAGGTCGATGGCAGAAGACATCCTACCCCCTTGTTGTGTTTTGTTCCTCTTCAGCCCTCACTTTTGTCCCATAACAGCATGGTTGTGTTTCTTTGGTGGAAAGGGCACAGGGAAGTTTGTTCTGACACACCAGACACCCTCATGGAGGAGTCAGAACAAGAACACTGGGGATGGATGAATTCAAAGAAGGCCAGAAGAGGAAGAAGGAGTGACTAAGGTACTATTAGTGTCAGAACCATTTTATCTAATTCATAACCAAGCCCAAGCTTTCCTCTCCTCCCCCAGCCCCCAAGAAGCTGCCTACATAGCACATCAGCTCATGAAAACGTGTTAGCTAAACATAAAATCTTACAGGTCTTTTACTTCATCCTCCCCCACGGAGAAGCCATGCAGTGCTGCACGGCTGGGACTCACTGCTTCCCCAGCACATCCACCAGCAAAAATGTGAAGGAGTTAAATGGAAAACAGGTTATCATCCCTGAGCATTCAGTGGGATGCTTGTTACTTTCATGCTAATGTGTGAAAATTAAGCTAAACACGTGTTCCCCGTGTTTAAACCCTTTGTATGAAAGGGGGGTCTGGCAGTGCACTTGAAGAGCCCATCACAGCGAAGCCACAGCTTCAATAGCTTTGCTATTGTGCCTGAAGAAAAAGGAGAAAATCAACTTCTAAGGAAGGAGGGAGAAAAAAACCCCTAAGCCCTCAAATCTTACATTTCCAGAATCCATTTCTACTTTTAGCAGGTGAGAGAGGGCTCCCAGTATCATTGTAAAAGGAAAAAATGATCAGGAGCTGCACACCCAGCTCCATTGTACTTCCCGCTGAAATAATACAGTGCTCTACTGTTTCCCATTCTGAAAGTTCATGGCTCTTTCCCTAAGCTCAAATCTTAAAGTGGAAAAAGGAAAAATCACTTAAAGACAGTAAAATTGAATGGAGAAGATACCGTTTTGGTGGCAAAACACTTCTAACTCAAGAAACCTCTTACAAAAATTTAATATTGCTTCCTAATTGCAGCTGCCCACCTGCTGGCCCTTCCACCAGGCAGGATCATCCATCAAGTGCTCTGCTCTCTGAGCTGCTTTTGACAACCCACTAGAGACAATGGTTCCTCAGGGAACCAAAATGCTTTTCAGCTCAGGGTGCTCAGAGATGGAATGAGTTTTGGACTCTCCAGCCCACGCCAATGCCTACAGGTTCAGCAAATTATTTGCAAAATGTAATGGCTTGCCTTGAAGAGCTACTACTGCCTATCCTATCTCCAAGGAGAGCATGAGTTATCCTTTACTACAGCAAATGCCTCAGTAGTTTATTTTTGCATTCACTACTAATTTTTTTCTTTTTTTTTCTTTTTTTTTTTTTTAAAAAAAAAAAAGCTAAGAGATAGCAAGACAGAGGATCTATGTGTTTAATTACTGGATGCTGAAGAAAGACTGTAATTACAGCATTTGCACTCCGTCTGATTCCACCCCATTCTCCCAATTCATTTAAGTGCAATCAGCCTCATTAGCTCCCTAATCAGAAAGTCTATAAATATAGCAATCGAAGCACTGAGCACATCCCTACCAGCCCCTCCAAAACCAGGATTAAGGACCTACAGTGCATCCCCATCCCAGCTGGTGGAGGGGATGCAGGACCTGGGGAAAAGGCTGCAGAACCTGGTGTGCACACCCATGCTCAGCCCATCCAGAGGGTGCAGGAAACAGGGAACCGCAGTGCCCAGCCAGCCCAGAGTTCAGGTCCTGGCAAGGAGAAGGATACGAGCTACATCTCCATGCCCATCCGGTAAAAACCAAGGTGCAGGGCTCAGGAGAGGAGGTGCAGTACCCGGACTTGCATCCCATGCCCAGTCCAGAAGATGCAGAGCCGAGGTGTACCTTTGTCCCAGCTGTCCCAGAGAGTGCGGGGCAAGGGGACAGGGGACCCAGGCCACCCCGACAATCTATGGAGGTGCAGCACCGGGACAAGCGGGGGCTGACCCGGGCTGCAGCCCCCTGCCCCAGGCAGTCCAGGGGCACAGGATCTGGAAAGGGGTTGTTAAATCTGGGCACACCTACACCGAACCAGCCCGGCAGATGCAGGACCTGGGCTGCATCCCATCCCCAGCCGGACGCAGGACCCGAGGAACAGCCCTGATGCCGAGAGGCAGTGGGGTGCAGGACCCGGGGTGCAGGACCCGGGGTGCGGGACACGGGGTGCGGGGCGCTCAGGATCCAGGTGAGCTGAGAAGCCGGGCTGCAGCCTCCTGCCCAGCTGCTCCAGGAGATGCCGGACCCGGGAAAGAACGGCGGTCCCGAGGGGCTCTAGCGGGTGCGGGACACGGGCAAGAGCATGCGGGACACCCACGCCCACCCAGCCGGGGATTGCAAGACCCGGCTCCAGCCCGCTCCCGGCCGGTCCGGGCAGCGCGGTTCGGGAGGAGCATCCCCGCTCCCGGGGCGGCGCGGGAGGCAGGAGCCGGGGTGCGGGATGCAGGGAGCACTCACATCGAGGATGACGGAGGTGCCCTTCCTCTGGGCGGCGGCGCCCGGGGCGAGCAGCTCCCTGTCGGCGAGGCCCTTGTCGCCCATCCTGCCCGCCGCCCAGCGCAGCAGCCCGTCCAGCCCGCGCAGCGCCGGCGCCGGCTTCCGCAGCAGCTTCTGCACCCCGGCCCGGCAGTAGCGCGCTGCCTGCTCGCACATCGCTCAGCCCGGCCTCATCCCGCCGCCGGGACTCCCCCTCCTTCTCCTCCTCCTCCTTCTCCTCCTCCTCCCACAGCCGCTCGGGGCCAGCGGGCGGGCCCGCGGGATGCTGCCCCAAGAGCAAGGGGGGAGTTTTGGGGCGGGGGTAGGTCAGCCCCCCGGGCTCCAACGAGAACCACCCTCTTAGGGAATTTATGTCTAAAAAGACTATATCCGTGTTCTCTCCCCTCCACAGCCTCTCTACACTCAAAGACAGATTTTAGCAGCTCTTTGTGAGGGCAGAAGAGAACAAATTTGTTGCTAGTAAATAAAACTTGCCCCTGAATCCCTATCACTCTTCCAAAAAGTCCCTATTCAGTGGATAGTCAGCGATTCCAGGTGGGGTATTGCAACATCTGTGGCTACAGCACTAACCACAGTGCTCAGCTGGAAAATATTCCTGACCTGTAATTCTGTGTTGTGAGAACATTTATTTGAAATGCTCCTGTGCTCGGTTTCATAGGTCAAGAGTTAGACTTGCAGTAGAGGCAATAAGTCTTCTGGACAAAATGGCACTAAATAATTTAATTTCCCACTCCACAGCTGAGGAGGTGCTCCCAGTTTGAGCTCAAACCTGGAAAAGCAGGAGAGCTCAGACCCAGAAACTTGGAGGTTTCCCCAGAGTTCTGGAGTAGCCACAGGCTCCAAATGTCCTTTCCCACATGCAGCAGCCAGACCCGCTCAGAGGCAGCTCTAGAGGACTTCATGACCCTCCCAGGGCCACATCCCCTGATCTGAACACCTCTGTCACCCCTTGCAAGCACTGCACACTTCCCACACTGAGTCCTGTGCCTAGCCAACCACTGCTTTAAGTGAAACAAACAGCAGTAATTTATTTATTTCAACAGAACTTACACATTGCAGTTCACCAGATCCCAGACCCTCACAAAAGCCTACCCAGAGGAATTATTTAGCTCCTTCTTCTAATCACCCATCTTTATTCAGCTAAAATGGGGTGAATTTTCTGTGTTTGAGGTGAAAGGTAGGGAGTGTGCATTTTCCTCTCAGCTGCTGCTCAAAGAAAAGTGAGTGGGAGCCCAGTTCCTTCTACTGGAAAATAGCTGGAAGCTCTTAAAAGTCTTTTAAACAAATGAGGCACAGAGAAGCTTAGCAGTAGGTCAGTACACCCAAGGGCTGAGCCCCTCTTTCACCAAACTCTTGCCCTTCAGGGTTTCCTTCTCCAGCAATACAAAACTCATGGGGGAAAACAGAGGAACTTCAGGGGTTTATGATGGTTTGTGGGAGCTGTGTGGAGCACTTCAATGGCTCTGTGCTCTTTCACAGGGATGCTCAGGGCAGGCTGGTGTACAACCCAACCATCACTCCCCATTCCCAATCACATCTCACAAAGCCAAACCAAACCACATCTTGCTTCCCCTTGCCATGAGCTGGTGCCAATCTCCTGTACCCCTCACAGTCAGAGCTACTCTGCTCTTTTGTACTTGTACAATGCTCAGATTATTCACATGCTTCTTTCTCCTTTAGATATTCCCTCCACTAAATGGCTGGTTCAGACTGCATTGATCACACCCAGGTTAGGATTACTATACATGCTTGCTAATTAAAACTATTGACTGAATAAATTTAGAAATAAAGTTCTTTGAATTTTCCTTTCTATTTGCCATGAAGATTCATTACTTGGATTTGAAGTCTGGGGTTATTGCTGTACTTTTATCAAAAACAACTCTTGCTAATGTCAAAACCAGCATTTAAATACTCATTTTTCCCACTGAACAGACCTGAATATAAAAAAAAATTCTAGAGACCATTTCTACTGGGCTGTGTTACTCAGGGCTATTTCCTAGTTCTTCTGAGGCTGAAGTCTCTCTTTAAGCAAAAAATGGGAAGACTGTTACTACTTATCTGAGCCAGGTGAGGAAACCGAGGAACTCTCAAGGCATATGCTGGTGTCAGCCCATGTCACACCACAGCCAAGGGTGGGGGCAGAGGCACAGACCTCACACTGAGCTCTGTGTGCCAAATTCATTCTCTGCTTCCTGCCAAGGGAGATGGGACACTGCCTGTCCCGTGCAAATAAACACAACTGCAGCCAGGGCATCAGGGCTCTGCCAGCCTCTCCCACCACCCTGCACTGCTGGTCATGCACTGACCCTGGCCAGCAGCCACCCACCAGGCCAGAAGGAGAAACCAAAAGCCAAACTAGTGATGGACAAGTGGAGACAGCAGTGTTTCCTTGCCTCTTCAGCTGCAGCTCCATTAAAGCTGGAGCTGCATTTCATTAAAGGTGGAGAGAGCAGGACCACCAGCAGCCACTGAAAGCTTTGTCCATAATGCCAATGCTGAGTGGCATAGGAATAAATAGGAGAGAAGAGAGAGAATGCAACTAAAAAGCACAGTTAAATGCAGACAAAGTGCATTCCTGGGAAAGCAGCAAGCCTTAATGACAGGTTCTGGTGGGCTCAGCATGGTCAGGCCACAAAGTGCCCAGGGGCAGCAGAGCCCAGCGTGCAGCACGGCCACGGACCCGCTGGCGTTTTGCTTCCCACGCTGTGCTGCAGGCAGAGAGCTCCAGCCCTGCCCAGCAGAGGAAGGGAGAGCTGCAGGGAAAGGCAGCAGCTGCTGCTCCACCTTCTCCACCCTGACATTTAACACTGAGCCTCCCCACTGCTGCGCTGGCTGGGCACACGTGTTGCTCCAGACCTCTACGGTATCGTAAGTGATGGATCAGTTGGACAGCAAGGTTGTTGAAGGCTGTTAGAGACCAGACCTATTCTCTCTCACTCCCAGCTCCAAGTTCAGGAACTCTGAGATCTCAAAAAATAGAGTATTACCAGTCCAGTTTCAAGTCTGATCTTGATCAGACAATGTTTTTTACTGGTGCATTTGGAACTCAGCACAAAGCACAGGATTATTTCTACCACTGACAGTGTTTGCTCTACCAGCTTTCATATGGGGCTTATTCAGGTGCTACATCCAGTATTTTCCAGAAAGTCTTAGAGCAGGAGCACAAGCCATGTGCTGTAATTTCAGATGAGAGGCCATCTGAAAAAAGCAAGGGCTTCTCTGAAGGAAAGGTCCAAGAGGAGAAGTCCTGTCCACACCCCGGCGTGGCAGAGGCAGTGGCTTTCATCTCCCCTTTGAGTTCTGCCTTCTCCACCCATCCATCTGCACACAGCAGGCAGCTTTATTTAATTAAAAACTTCCAGCAGGCAGGACCTGCAGCCTTGCTTGGTGCAAAATGTCACATATGACTTACTAATATTTTCTAGTGACTGAGGGATTGAGGTTAATGCAACAGTTCAATGGCAGGATGAGGAAACAGCTCTGCTGTCACAGAGATGGGAATTTGGCAAATCAACCTTGCTTGCTCAGCTTGGAAGCAGAAATTACACTTTAGTCCCTCTCTTAACTTCTGTTTATTATAATGCAGCACGTAATCACCAGGTGACTCTATCAAAAAATGTATATTCCATCTTGAAAATGCCACACTGCCAACAGCACCATGGTAACTCACCAGCCTGAACTGAAGGGGATCCAGGGAGACTGTGTCCATGTGCTGTGTTAACTCCTAAAAACACAGCAAACCCCCTCCCCTCTGCGAGCTGAAGGGAGCAGAGCTCATGGTTTGGTGGCACAACTTGCCCACCACTAATGAAGTGCTGAGCCCACCTCAGTCCCTGGGATCACAGGTTTCTGACCCAGACCCTGCAATCAGGGATAGGAAAAGCTTCAAATGCACCACTTTATGTCAGGTTGATCTCAAAGAGCTGAATTCTTGTTTAAGACAAGATGTAGACCTGCACTATGAACACCTACAGAGTGTCTTCCAACCACAGCTACCCTAAGGAGACAGAAACCTCTCTGTTCAAGTACTCTTGCATCCAAACATCCCTCCTGCTCCAGGACCAGCACTGCAGCCAAGGGGGGAGCAGGCAGGTCCAGCACAAGGTGAGAGAGCCTGAGCCTTCTTGGGGAATTACTCAGCTCACCCAATGCACCCAATTGCTGCAAACAGAGACCAGGAACAGCTTGAGAGTTCTGGCTATTGATGGTTATTATCCTAAAGGCACAGGTATCCAGGAAACCTGGCAAAGGGGAATTATAGGGACCAACCTCACCAGGAAACCTGGTAAAGGGGTTATAGGGACTAACCTCACCATTAAATAAAACTTATACAGCATTAGGATATCATAGCTCTCAGAGGCCCTGACTTCCCCAGAGCTCTGAGATGGTTCTCCAGAGAAATATGAGGATTTGTCACCATTTGAAATGAATTTTTAAAAGTAAAATAAAAAACAAAGCTCTCATTCATAAGAGACTCACCTTCCAAGACATACACAGACTCATCCTGGAGAGGGTCTGGGAGCTGTGTGGCTTCTCCAAACCTCTCAGGAGCAGCACAGCTCCTGCCTGGGCTGAATATTGCCTTTTAGTTATTCTGAGGTGCAGGACTGCAGGCAAACAGGGGGTCAAATCCTTCTGCTGATGGCTGCTAAATAAGTTCAGAGGGTCTTGGTTGGTTTTGTTTTGGTGTTGGCTATTAAGGGACATTACCTAGCTCTGTTGATTTGGTAATTGAGGAAATGAACATTTAACACCCAAACTAACACATCCTTGATTAAAGTTAAAGGCCACTGACTCAATAGACCTTGTGATTGCGGATTTGTAGGGAAGAGCTACAGTAAGATTTTTCTTGCATGTTTATTACTCATAATGATGTTCAGGTAAAGCAGACCAAAATATTTTTCCCTTCAATATGCAGCTGAGGTCAGAACTATTAAGGACCCTGGAAAAAGCTAATCCACTTCTGATGACCTTTTGAAATTACCTTTTGTTTCTTGTGCCCAGTACACCTCATTTCAAACCACATATAACAGTGTGAAAAACATGGAAATGGAGAATTGCAGACTTTCAGATCTCTAACCCTGTGTGTGAGCATGACTGCCAATTAAAAAAAATTTAAGTTATTGCACCTAAATAAAATATTGCCTCTTCATAAC